AAACCGCATGGCCTTGCAGAGGTGCTGTCCTAACCATGATGCATGCACATACATTGTGGAAGGTCTATATAGTCACAAGACCCCAGCTTCATCAGAATACCATTAGCATTGTGGTTTTAATACATCTTGTGGGCTTTTCAAGGACCATGGGAAGAAATAACCTAAGAAGATCTGGTTTGCTATGATTTGGGAAGGAGGAAAAGAGTCACTTCATGAATGCGCACACGCACACATGTGCACTTCATAAAAACACATAAAAACTTCCAATAAAATTAGTAAATCCAAAACCTCTAAAGAAATCAGTTTTGTTTAGCTTGAGAGATCTTTGCTACAATATCAACCTAGAAGTTTTCCTATATCAAACATGTTCTTGTAAAGATTTTATGCTTTTCTTGCAATCTCAGCTTTCATGGAAAAGAGAATCATAATTATGGGAAATATTTTCTTTTAATGGCAAATTATCTGACTAATCTAGAACACGTAATAATTGCTAATAAGCAGAGTGCTTTATGAGAATAGATTTATTGAGTTTTGTTTGTTGCTTTTAGGTCTTGATGAGATACTTTCCACTTTGGAGGTAATACTTGTCCCTCTATACTTTCAAAGACTCTGAAATCCTTTCTCCTAAAGTTGTAAGCCATCCCGGACTGTGCAGAAAGGTCTCTTTGTAAGGCGGTGCCTTTTCTTGTCTTGCCCGCTACAGCCAGATCTCTTTGACATTTGGGCCAAATGGTCTGCAGAGCTACTTTATTTGAAAAGTATTAAATAAAAATTGGATGTCTTTTTATTATTTGAAGCCATAAGAATTACTTTAGAATTATATTGGCTAACATGGTAACTATTGGATTCTCTATTTAAATTTAAGCTAATGAGAAAGAAGTAAACATTTAGGTCCTTAGTCATAGGAGCCATAATTTAAGGGTTCAGTGGTCAGATGTGTCTACTGGTTACCATATTAGACAGTGTTGACATAGAGTACTTCCTTGTAACAGGCAATTGTATTGAGTACATTGTTCACACTCTCACCTAGGGGGCCAATCTGGTTCACTACCTGCTCTGTTAATAAAGTTTTATTGAAATACAGCTATCTTGCTGGAGAGTATATCTGTTTTAAGTTGAAGTTATGTGCATAAATATTATATGCATACTGTCAGTAAGTGCAGGATTAAATCATGTAAGACAGGCTACTACTATAATTCAAAGATAAGCTGAAGCAAACTAAAATTACAGTCAAAAATAGAGTATTAGAAGAAACCTTCAAATACTAGGTGAAAACCATCATTCCCTGGAAGATTAGGTCCTTTCTGGTGGATCAGCTGCTTTACAAATTAGAGGGAATTAAAAAAAAAAGAAAACAGGAATGCCAGGCAAGAGTGAGCAGTCAACATCCACCGCGGTACTCTTGAGTAGGCTGACCAAGCAGCAGGATTAGCATAGTGACATGAGACCCAGACATGCAGTGGACACCAGGACAGCTAAAACACTGATGGAGCTGGGTGAGGCGAGCATAGCTGACACAGTAGACTTCAAAATCTTTCCAAAGTGCTTACCTCATTAATAAGCTTTTTCAAATTTTTTATTGAAACCAATTTAAATATTTTTATGTTTGTTTATCTTGTGGGCTATTCTAGAATTATCATCTAGTTAAGAGGAAATGATTAAATCCATTTGTTTAACATTTTATATACTTTTCCCCCCTTTGAAATGATCTCAGTATGTAGCCCAAGCTGACCTTGATCTATGTAGCCCAGGCTGGCCTTTAACTCCCGACCCTCTTACTCTCAGCTGCTGACATTACAGGAATACGGTGCCACCACACCCAGCTATATACAAACTTTAATACTGCTTTAAACTATAGAGGTGTTCCATTTTGGTGGGATATGAGATGATGTTGTCTGTATATGTTTGGGTTGTGCAGTTTTTGTTGTTGGCATGTTTTTTTGTTTACCCCATTGTCTGAGGTAGGATCGATGAAGGCTGAATTCAAACTCACAATCCTCCTCTCCTAATCTCGCAAGTGCTGGGAATACAAGTGTGCCTGCCACATCTGGTTGGTTTTTTAGAAGGCCAATGATGCTTTTAGTTGGTTTCAAATTATAGTGCAATATAGTAAATGCAAGCCTTCGACACTGTCCTAATAGAATGTTGTTTCCTACTGTTTCTTCACTATTTCCCTAGGTTTTGAGCTTCCTTCATTTTTTAATCCCAAGTGCCCTGCTTTTTTGTAGGCCAATGCTTTTATAAGGGCTCAGTGAAGACCTTATAAAGGCTGACCCTTGATGAAGCAGATTATAGTGTAGCACAGAGAGCTAAAATTAGAGGAAAGCTGTACCTCTGCTCCAAATAGCAACAACTGGGGGATAGATACTCTGGGTGAACACAGTCTCTTCATTTAGTCTGCACTGTGCCTGTTAGGTTTCGTTTGTTTTAAACTGTGGTGTTTATAAATCTTTGCATGCATATGTTGGTGTGGTATTGCATTATTCTCTTTATAGACTTATCTTGATGGTGATAACAGTCTCCATAAGCAGACTATGAAGAAAATCTTCAGCATTAGAACTGCAGTCCATATAAAATCGAAAGCTTTTAAAGAGTAATTCTCTTATGCAGTACGTTCTGTGGTAAAAGTGAAGTAACACAGACTCAAAAAAAAAAAAAAAAAAAAGAACAAAGTGAAAAGACTGAGTTAACTAGGGAATTTCATGAGTTTGTATTCTAGATCAAAAATAAAACTTTTGAGAACATTTTTGACGGAGAGTAACTTCTTGCGAGACGATGTTTGTGTTTCTTTTTTTCCAAATATCATAATGATACTCAAATTCTTAATGATTTTTTTGTTGTTAAAATGATAATAAATGATAATATTTGCTGTTTGGGGGGAATGGATATATGAGGGAAACACACTATGTCTTCACTTTGCACCAGTTGTTTGCCTGTGCTGAGTAAATCTGATGCATAGACCAACAGGGAGTTTTCTGAATGAGTTTTGCAGTTAATAAATAAAGCGTTAGTTAGATGTTCCACATGAAATGGGTTTTCACTGATTAAGTTTCTAATATTTGTAACTCCTTCCTGTGCAGAGTTGCCCTGAACATAGAGTGATCGGCCACTCTCTTCACCCTTGCTCTAGTCTATACTGGCTCCTTCCACTGTTGCTCTGGGTTGTAAAGCTTCTGAACTTCCCCACCTTGGCCCCTTCAGGCTTGTTGTCCTTGTATCTCAAAGCAGGGTGGATTCAACTCCAGTTCCAGGGGAATCCGAAGCCCTCTTCTGACCTCTGTGGCATTGCACGACAGTGGTACACTTACATACATGCAGGCAATATAGTCATACACATAAAATTAAAATAATGAATAAAATATTTTTTTAAAGGTTAAGATTTGTGTTTATTTATAGTTTTCTTTTCTTTTCTTTTCTTTTCTTTTCTTTTCTTTTCTTTTCTTTTCTTTTCTTTCGTCTCCCTGTAGTTGTAGCTGACCTGGAACTCACTAGGTAGACCAGGCTCGCTTTGAGCTCACAGCGATCTGCCAGTCTCTGCCTCCCTAGTGCTGGGATTAAAGGCGTTTGCCACCAGCCAAGCTGTTTTGACTTCTTAAACAATGATTGACTTTAAATTCTCAATGATGAAGAGATTTTGGGGGTTTTTTTTGTTTGTTTGTTTTGTTGGTTCTGGTGGTAAAACTCCAGACCTAGAACATGCTAGGCAGGTGCTTGACGACTGAGCAGCACACAGCCCCAGCCCTGGGAAGGAAATTTTGTTTAATAAATTGAGTAATGATTTTTTTTTCCGTGTTTTAAGGATTTATTTTTTAACTTTGGGAAGTAATTAAATAATTTGCTTCATTATTTTATTGAAGAAATCAAGGTATTCTCAAGTTCTAATTTTTTTGTGTGTGTTGTGGTGGTACTGGAGATTGAACCTGAATTGAACATACATGCTAAGCAAGTGCTCTACTACTGAGCTACAGCCCCCCCCTTTTTTACAGGCCTGTGTCAACAAACCCAGCTTCAAGTTATTTTTTAAAACTTTTGTAATCTTTCTTGCAAATTTTTTTCTTATTAAAAATTGAGTAGTTTCATGTTAGCGTAGCAGCTTATTTGATTATATATTCAGTGTTTACAATTTGCCTAGGTTTTAGTTGTTAAAGATATTGAACCATATAAAACCTAGAAGGTTCCTGCCCTCATTGAGGTTACACTCATGGGGGAAACAGACCACAGTATATTAGATAATAAAATGACCCAAAAAGCTGAGGGCTGTGAAAGACTAGAAAGCTCACTGAGGTGGAAGTGTGACACTTCTATTAGGTCAGGGAGGCCTCTGCGAAGGATGCTTGTGAATGACTTGGGTAAGCAATGTGGACAATGGGGAAGAGCCCACCTGAGAGGGGCAGCCATGGAGCCTCAGAAACTGGACTTCTTCTGAAGGAAAAGAGGAAGACAGTATGGCTAGAATTCAGTATGTGATGGGAAAAGACAGATTTAATATACTTATATCAGAGATGGAGTCAGAATCAGGGATGGAATACAGTTAAATTTAATTCATTCATTTGTAAGACTCCATAATGTTCCATGCAGTGGCTAAATTATAGTACTTACTGATGAGCATCTAATGCTCTATTTTTCATGAATCCGGCAATGCTGAACCTAAATCTCTTACATGCATATATATTTGCATCCATTCATGGGTGTAACTATAGGATTGATTGCCAGTAGAGCGATGGTTAGACAGACCACAGGTTATATGCACATAAATATTTATAAATACTCACTACATACTCCTTAAAAGTATGGCACAGTCTAACCCCTGCCATAGTTGATATTTGTGGTTGTTTTCCTGATGTCCTTGCTAACAGGAGGTATTTATAAACTTTAAATTTCTAGTTCAGAAGCTATAAAAGCCATATTTACTTACAGTTTAGGTTGAACATGTTCTTATTCACCATATATGTCTATGAAACTACTTACTTAAACTGCATAAACTTTATTTTCTTTTTCAGTAATTTTATGAATAAGCATCAGAAGCCAGTGCTAACAGGCCAGCGGTTCAAAACTCGGAAAAGGGGTAGGTTTTTTTTAATGTTGTGTGTGTACGCTTAACGTTCTAATCTAATTATTAGAATGGAGTAGAAGAGTTTGAATGATGCCCTACTCCCCTTAACCACACTAGTACAGTTGAGCTCTGAATAGCATCTCTTGTACACTGATGCCACAGAGCAGCCAGTTGCTTGTGTGTTTGGTATCAGATAGCCCAGCCTGTCTGCTCTATGCATCCCAAACTGCAAAATGAAGGTGATTGATAAATGTTGCTGCTTTTTTTTTTTAAAACAAACTTTTTGACCTTACTGTTTGTATTTGATTTTTGCTTTCATTTGGGGGTTTTGAGAAAGTATTGATAGCAAAGAAAGTAATACATAAAGAAAAGTTAATTAGGGAGAGAGCTACTGAAGAGGATTTTTTTTGCTTTTTCAGTAGTCAGATTAAATCTGTTGCAGTATTTTCAGTTACTCCTATTGTGAGTAAAGCAGTAACAGACCCAGTTTGATGAGGAATGGTAAGTTCTGTTTGTGTAAATGACTTTAAATATAATGTTTATGCTACTGTCCTTTCTGTGTAAACAGAATTTAAAACAAAATTTTATACTTAGTTTTGCACAGTGTTATAAATTATCAGCTTTACAATTATATTTTGCACAAAAATAAAGTTTTGTATAGTTATATATCTTAAATATATAATTTTTATTGTTGCCTTTGAACAGTTATATCCTCTTAGATACAAAAATGTTGAACTCAATGAAGAAACTGTTTCAAAGAAGAAACAGGACGAGTTGGCGAGTTGATGTTGAAAGGAACGAGCAAAATGATGTTGTTGCCATTTTCAGGAATAGGAATTTTCTGTTCCTCGTTGAGTGTTTTGTTTTGTTGTTCAGACAGGGTCTCATATTGTAGCCCTGGCTAGGGTGGAATTCACTATAAGCCCAGGCTGGCCTAGAATTCATTATGTAACTACAGCTAGTTTGAACATGCAGCAATTCTTTTGCCTCAGCCTCCAGAGTGTTGGGATTATAAGCATGGATGACCATGCACACCGTGATTTCCCTATTTTCTTTTTCTTTTTCCTTTTCTTTTTTACATCTTCTGTTCTCAGGATTGAGCCCAGGGCCTTGTATATGTGCACATGTGAGATAAGTACTGTACCACTAAGCTCCATCTCCAGCCCTGTTCCTCTTAATAGAATTGGTAAAGGGGAGACATATTTCCCAGCCTGCAAAAAATATTATTAATCCTATCATGCCACTACAACTTAGCACAGTTTCCAAGCTGTTAGTGATAATTGTGACTGAATGCATTATTTCTCACTGTCTTCATTTCTTTTCCTGTTGCTGTGATAAGATACTCTGACAAAAGCAGCTTAAAAGAGGAAGGGTTTATTCTGCCTCACAGTATGAGGGTGCAGTCCGTCATGGTGGGGACGTCAAGGCATCAGCTTTAAGCAGCTGATCACATTATGTCCACAGTCAGAAGAGATCGAGAATACGTGCATGCTAGTGCTCAGCTCAGTTTCCCCACTCGTGCACAGTCAAGAGTCCCTTGCCTAGGGAGTGATGCCACCCACAGACAGGTCTTCTCACCTCATTTAGCATAAGTACAATAACCCCCTACAGACATGCCCCAGGCCCAGCTTCCACGTGATTCTAGATTTTATCAAGTTAACCACCAACCATCACACTCACTAAAATGTCCTTGGTCATGATATACTTTCTTTTACGTTTCTCTCGTTGGCAATTTCTTTGGAAAATTACAATAAGAAAGTGAAGGACTTTTTACAAACCCAAAATTTTAAGTTGTCTCTTAGAAACCAAAAAGTTCCTTCTGCATGGATTTTTAGCACAGCCTGGGTTTTACCAACTGCATTTCCCAGTGCTTCAGTTTATAATTTTCTGAAATCATCAAACTCTGAATTGTGGCTTCAGTTGAAGCTAGTCAAAAGATTTAGCAAATGGCCTATGGTCTTTTTATATCCTGTGTTCTCGTATCATAGGAAAGAAAACATCTGTTTCCTAGGAGGCAGGAAAATTACCCTTTGGTTAGATTCTGGGTAAAAGGTGATGTTTTCTCTACCTACCAGTGGGTTTCTTGAGCTTAAAGCTACAGTTACTCTGGCCTGTGGCTCTACATACTGTGTTCCTCTAGAATTCTTAGCCATCATTTGCATGCTGTCATCATTTGCATGTTGTTGGCTACATAATGTTTTCCTTATGGCATCAAAAGGTCTTTTTATCTATTGTTATAATGAATACTGTTCCAGTTCATTTATGTATGTCTTTATGGTATCTCATGCCCTGTGACTCCGACTGGTACTAGGAATACCATTCTTCTGTGGTTCTAATGCTGGGGTTGAATGATGTTAACCACTTATCACCCATCTTTATGTTAGACGACTAACTGCAAATGGCCTTTTTGTACAATAAACCAGGCAGTTTGGATTTTAAATGTAGTTTTAATTTTATCAAAATTATGAAAGCACGTAATTTAAACACTCACGTGGTTCTGGGAGACAGAACTGCTCCCAGGGCTGCTCCTCAAAGGACCACAAAGAAAGAATTCATCTATCAACTTGTTTTGTTTTTGAAGCCCCCCCCCAATGTCTTTCAGTGAATAAGTAAATATTCTGAAATGTTATATTTTATAGGAAAATATTAATAGATACAACCCCTATGCATACACACACACACACACACACACACACACACACACACACACACACACCACTTTGGAATCAACACTGAATGTCAAGAAGTCAGAAAGAGAAAAGCCATAGACCTGCTTTGGACCTATATAAATTACTCATATAACATACTAAATATTAAGTACTCTAAAGGAACTTGTCTTGTATGAAAGGAAGCCTCTTACTTTCTTCCTCCCAGCCTTGCCTGTATATTCTTTGGTGATGCTCTGGATTATTTTCTTTCTCGATCTTTAAGTACTCTAAAGGAACTTGTCTTGTATGAAAGGAAGCCTCTCTCTTTCTTCCTCTCAGTCTTACCTGTATATTCTTTGGTGATGCTCTGGATTATTTTCTTTCTTAATCTTAGATGAAATAATAACTTGAGGTTAACAATATTTTTTTTCTCCTATGTTTAGACTTAATAGATTGCATGCATACTTTTGTAACCTAGCCTACATATTGCATAAATGAACAATGAACAATCATTAATGTTATTATGTATTAAAATAATTTTATGATCCTGTTGTACAGGATTACATAATTTGTGAGTAAATGCTTAAAAATGGAGTTTCAGAAGCCGAGCGTGGTGGCGCATGCCTTTAATCCCAGCACTTGGGAGGCAGAGGTAGGCAGATCTATGAGTTCAAGGCCAGCCTGGTCTACATACTGAGTTCCAGTCCAGCTAGGGCTACAGAGAGACCCTGTCTCAAAAAGAGCAAAAAAAAAGGGGGGGGCGGTCAGAATGTGAAACTCTGAAAACTTGAATTATTGTTCAGTTGTTGAATATTCACAAATAAAGAACAGTGAAGAAAAGGAATGTATGGCCAGTTTCTTTGAAGAACATGTGAATATATGTGGGGCAATGTCAAGAAATAATTAATAAACTTTTTATTTCAGATGAAAAAGAGAAATTCGAACCCACAGTCTTCAGGGATACACTTGTCCAAGGGCTTAATGAAGCTGGTGATGACCTTGAAGCTGTAGCCAAATTTTTGGATTCTACGGGCTCAAGATTAGATTATCGTCGCTATGCAGACACACTCTTTGATATCCTGGTGGCTGGCAGTATGCTTGGTAAGCCATGAGGTGTAGCTCTTCCTGTGCTGTGTGTGTATTTTAATCCTATTGCCATAGTTCCTCAAAAGGTAAAAGCTTGTAAGTGACCTTCATTAAGTTTGGAATCTATTCATGTGGGTTCAAAGTAATTACTGGTTTATAAAATGCATAGACCTTTGGGTTTCTGTTAATATTACAACATAGCCAGTTGGATTTAGCCCAAAGCTAACTACTTCATATGCCCTAATGCTCAAATGTGTGTGGGGGTGCATAGAGGGCTCATGTCTATGGTAGAGTAGGACATTGTGTATTTGTATATGCTGTCTACATCCTCCAGTGTAGGTAATGAGCCCAAATATCAAATGGCAGCTTTTCTTTCCAACCGCATCCATTTCAGTACACTGAAATGTGCTGTCAAGAAATTAAAATAATTTCTAAGGTTTAGCTAATGCCATTCTGTCCATAAATAGAAACGTCTTTGAAATATTTTACTTATTTTTATTTTGTGTATATGAGTATTGCCTGCATGTTTGTAAGTGTACCTATATCATGCAATGCCCATGGAGGTCAGAAGAGGACATTGGATCCTTTGGAACTGGAGTTATAGGTGGTTATTAGCCTCCATGTGGGTGCTAGGAATTGAACCCTGCTCCTACAAGAGCTGCCAGTGGATTTAACCACTGAGCCATCTCTCCAGCCCCCTGAAATATAGTTTTTTAAGAGATGCTTTGAATTGTAAATATTGTATATGGCCAGAAGGATTAAAGATGGAAGGCTGTATCTCTGAGCAGAAGCATGAAAGAAAAAGGCTTTGAAATGAATTAAAGAATACCAAACAGCTGGACCAAATGACTAAAAGGTCAAAAATAAAGACTAAAAGGTCAAAAATGAGAAGGAAAAAGCCTCCGGACACTAGCTTTTGAGAGCCTGACCCAGTGACTTATGGTATCTTAAACAACTAGAGCCTCCTAATGGTTCCTAGTGCCTTACCCCTTTCTTTTTCCATTTTTGTGCGTGCATGCGTGGTGTATGTGTTATGGTATACATGTGTATATGTGCATGTTTTGCATGTGTGTAGGTGCACATGTATGTGGAAGCCCAAGTTTGATGCGGGGAATCCTGCTTCATTGCTCTTCCTCCTTATTCAATGAGGCAAGGTCTCAGTCCAGCCCGGAGCTTCCTGATAGGCAATCGGGCTAGCTGGTTGCTCTGAGAATCCCGGCTCCACCTTCCAAACACCTACCTGGCATTTTATGTGTATTCTGGGGATCTGAACTCCAGTCCTCACACTTGCATAGAAAGTGCTTTAACAATTAAGTCATCTTGCCAGACTCTTTTGTTCTTAGTTATAATTGGCTTCCATGGTAACTATACAATATTAGAAATGATTAGTTTTCTTACACTTGCGATCTTCAGTTATTTAGGAAATAATTGCAAATGTTTAGAAATATTTTTATTATTATAAAGACTTGGACATAGGTGCAAAGACAATCAGCGCAGTGAAAATTTGCCCTTCTCAAATGTCAGCTGCCCTTTCTTTGAGAAACACTGCCTAGGCTTTGAGACAGTATGTATGTATTCCTCCAGTGGTGCCTAGGCTTTGAGACAGGATGTATATGTTCCTCCATTTTGAGGTGGAGCCTCTTCTGAGTGAGCTCCTGTTTCACATGCTCTGTTTGAAACATGGTCCCTTACACTGTCAGACCTTTGTTCTCCATTGCTAACTTTCACTGATACTGAATTAATTTTGTTTTTGTAACTGTTTATCCAAATCACTCTTCACCGTAGAATTCAAGTCCAAGTATAAAAACTATAATGTGTTCAAATCCCAATTCCCAGGAGTAGCCATTGATAATATTTTGGTTTATTCTTTTCGAGAAATATCTTTACCTCATAAATTTTTATGAATTAAGTGATTTTATACACATATGATACTATGCATTTTAATTTATATTTGCTAAACAAATACATTTTGCTTTTCAAATCCTTAAGTATTTTGTTTAGGATGATTTTAAAAACTACAGCCAAGCTGATGTTAAAGAATTTTTTTGTTTCCGGTTTTTAGCATTATAAGCATCATCAGTGTTTGTACACAGATCTCTATGTCCTTATCTTGAATGTCCTTGGCAAAGGATTAATGAATGGATTAAAGGGGGGGGTGTTTATATCTGAGAAAGAAAACTAAGCAGTCAAAGGGAATTTTGGTTAACTTTCTTACATCTTTAGCAATGTTAAATACTCAGTTTTGCCAGTTTTCTAGATCTTTATTTATTAAATAATGATAAATACTTTTCATTGAGCATTTCCTAATAGACTATTAGATTTTAGTATTTGCTGATCACAATCTATTTTATCAATACACTGGCAACTCTGTAGGAATAATCTTCAGCAAGTATGTCACACATGGCTACATCAGTCCATCTTGTGAAACTTTGTGTTTGGAACTGTTTATGCAGTTTGTTCATTTCCACTGAAGACAATCTAAGCCCTCGAGCATATTACAACTGTCTCTTGTTTTCTTTCCTGAGTGACCTCCAGGCAGCAGTCTTTGGCCTTCTGTCTTTCTTGTGCAATCCTTAGAGCCCCTTATTCACTTTCAGTCACAGTCCCCTTCCCCAGAAATATGTTAAATTATCAGCACACTTTGCATTGATTATCTCAAGGGCTTATTTACCATCAGCAGCAGATTTAGCTCTGTAGCCCACATGGCATTCCTTTACACTGTGCCTATCTAAGAGGAAGGCAGGGCAAAATGTTTGGTGCAACTTACTTAGCCCAGGTTACATAACCCCAGATGCCTCTGAATCCACTTTATGATGTAGTTAATGAAGCAAGACAGTACATTCTTTTTTAAAAAAAATCCTCTATTTATTACATTTATTTTATGTGCATGTATGTAAGTGTACCCGTGCTACGCAGTGCCCACACAAGTCAGAAGAAAGTGTCAGATTCCCCTGGAACTGGAGTTACAGATGGTTGTGCTCTTTCTTACAGATGGTTACTGCTCTTTCATTTGTATAAAGAATATATTTCTTTTACTACTTCTGCCTTGAAAGTAGCTATACTCCAAAAGTGAGAATTGGTAATTAATATTTGACTCTAACATAGGGGAAAACAAAATTTGAAATGCAAGCTATGGCCATATTATCAGTGTGTAAAAGGTGTATCTTGTGTTAATGCAATTTTAAAACTTTTGTTTTGCTCCTTCAGAGCAAAGACTGCAGTTTCAAAGCCAGACTTTTCAGTTCTCTAATTTTTACTATGAAGGAATTAGTCCAGCAGTTTGAGAAGATTATTTCAGCATAATTTGTTCCAGGTCCTTATATTCATTTTAAAAAGGCTAATTAAATTTGGCACATAAGTTAATTGAAGGAGGAGCCAATTTTTCTAAAACTAATTTCTTTTCAAAACTATTTGCTGTAGTCTAAAGCCCAGTGGGGGAGTCTGTGAGCTAAGGAAAGACCTCCATTGAATGGAATGGAAGGAATCCTTGCTCCAGGGGCTCTGATGCCCTGTTCTGCTCTCTGCAGGCACCTGCACTCAAACACATATACAGTAAGTTTTAAAAAAAAAAAGCAACACATCTTTTCAAAAAAGGAGTTGGATCTGTTCAGCTCCACATTTAGGTGAACTAGGTCCCGCAATGTGTTACCAATCCTGATAGAGCCATGGCCTGATTATTCCATCAGAGGATGAAATCCAATTCACTGAATAGAAGGTAATCTTTAGCTTTCATGGTTAAATACACACTTTAAAAAGAACTAGCAGCTTTACAGTGATAAGCTCTAGTGAAGGCAAAGATAGGGAACAGCAGTGTCCCAAGTGTGGTCACTGCGAAATAGAACAACTGGTTTGGGTTATATTGGACCCAAACTATAGCAACATGTCTTTATTTACATGTATACATCCTATGACATTCAGTGTGACTCGTTGAACATCTGCTTTCATTGTTTTCCTTCATGTTCCCCGGGCACCATTTTGGAATTGTCCTAACTGTAATTACTTTTGTCTTTTCAGCCCCTGGAGGAACACGCATAGATGATGGTGACAAGACCAAGATGACCAACCACTGTGTGTTCTCCGCAAGTGAAGATCACGAAACCATCCGAAACTATGCTCAGGTAGAGTCTGGCACCTACTTTTTAAAATATGTCTTTTTTTTTAAAGATTTTAAAAAATGTGTATGAATGTTTGCCTATATGTATGTATGTATGTATGTGTACCACGTGCATATCTGGTACCTACAGAGGACAGAAGAGGTTGTTGCATCCCCTATAACTAGAATCAAGGACAAGTGTGAGCCACCATGTCGATGCTGAGAATCAAACCAAGGTCTTCTGCAAATGTAACCAATGATCTTAACGCTGAACCATCTCTCCAGCTCATAAATCCCAGTTTAAAAAAAAAAAACAGTGGTAGATAATTCTTAAGCATATGAAAAGATGCGAGTTACAATCATAGGACAGCAAGCATTAATGGTACAAAAAGATACCATGTTTCACCTCTCTCTTAAAAGAGTACAAAGTACCTACTGAAATTACTGGTGGAAGTGTAAATTGGTCCTGTTCTTTAGGGAACGCAGTTTCACTCTTTTCATGCTAAAACTACACATTCCCTTTGACCCAGTAACTTTACTTCTCGAAGCCAGGCTTGAGTGTGTAAGAAATGGCACCTACTGTGATGGTCGTCATAGTATTGCTTATAACAATACCAAAGAGTAAAACTCGGTTAAAAGTTTGGCAAGCTGTATTGACAATGTAGCTATTAAAAAGTAAGAAGAAAAGACTTGGGGATGTAACTCATCCTTGTGCTTGCCTAGCATGCACAAAGCCCACTCCTATAATCCCAGGGCTTGGGAGGTAGAGGGAGGCAGATCAGAAGTTCAAAGTCATCCTTGGCTACATAGTGAGTTGGAAGTGAGCCTTGGGCTTCATTAGACTCAATCTCAGAAAAAAATATTAAGAGATAAGAATTATTTGTAATGCATAAAACCTGTAAGATTCATAGGCATGTTAAATGGAGAACTACAAGTCAATAACAAAAGGGTAAGTATCCTATTAGGAGAGGATCATGCAGACATTTCAAAGGAGAGCACATGGATCCCCCTGAAATGTGTGAAACATGTTCCAAACTCACTGTAACTTGAAGATATTTTAATTAAAATTATGAAATGTCATTTTGTCTAGATTAACATGGTAAAAATTAAGGTCAGGAAGGAGCAAAATGCAGCAGCTTATTAGACATTGCCTTATGAAAATGAACATATGCACCAAATAGCCAACCCAGGCCTGGTATGGTTTTGTTCTGGGTCTATTATGGACTCTCCTTAAGAGTCAAGTGTTGGGCTGGCTGTGCTGCTCAATCAGCAACACTTGCCTAGCATGTACAAGGCCCTTAGTTCAATCCCCAGCACTGCAAAATCTCTGTTCCCAACTAAATTTAGGACAAGCCCCAGGGCAGTACGTCTCTTTCCCTTGAGGTTAAACATCTGTAATTTGTTGACTATTAAACTGAGTGCTTACAGCATACTAGGCCCTTGTTTAGATTCTTCATACGAATTGTTAGTTCACTGAACTTTCACAACAAGCATGAGGTAAGCACCACTGTTTTCCACATGAGGAAACAGAGACCCAGAGAAGTTCTTTCTGAACTGGTGCCGCTAGGAAAGGGCAGAGCCAGGACTTCAGCCCAAGCAGTCTGACTCTAGAACACACATTGTTAGCACTGAGATGAAAAGGAGAGAGAGAGAGAGAGAGAGGAGAGAGAGAGAGAACATAAAAACAATTAAAAATAAAAGTAAAATGTATGTCATTTCGCATACATGGTCTTTGCTATCTTAGCAAATAGATATCTTTCCCACTTTATATTTAATCAATTCAATGTGTAGCAGATTAAAAGAAAAAAAAAAAAAAAGCCCAGGGCTGTAGGTTAATGCTAAAGTGCTTGCCCAGCATGCACAACACCCTGTATTCAAACAGTACCAGAAGAGGAAAAGTAAAGCTTTAAAAAATAGAACAATTAAGGTTAAGCAGACAGGATTCACTGGTTCAGACACTAGTCTGCCCTCTAAAACCATGTTCTCCTTTGAGGAAATAGATGCCAAACACAGTATGCTCAGTTCCAAAGCTCCTCTCTGGGTTCTTGAGATTGGGTCACATATAACCTAGGCTGACTCCCTGTGCCACCATGGTTGGGTGATATCATCATTTCTAAATCAGATTTCTTTACTAATATTAGCAGCAAGCAGGTTCTAGTCTACCATATAGGAGCAACGCCTCATCTTTCCACATATAGTTTTTAGCTTCAAATATTCACTCCAAATACAGGTTTATTAATAATCAGTATTTGAAGTCCAATGAAAAGAAAGATCAGAAAACCTGGACCATTTATTCCTGTAAATGTAAATGGTGTAGCTTTGCCTTTTCATCATAAGTAGAATGGCTTCTTTTAACAGGTGAGTTGAACCAACTCCTGAAAATTGTCCTCTGACTACCACAAGAGTGCGATGGTGCCAGTGCACCCAGACACACACACACGCACACACACACACACACAGATACAGACACACTAAATTAAAAATGTTTAAAAAAAAAAAAAAAGGTGGCGGATGACTACAGGAAACCATGTTGTCCCTGTAGCAGGGCAGTTTCTCCTATGAATTCACAGCGTTTGTGACAGGATACACAAGAATTACATAAGTTCCAGTCAGACAAATTTCCAGCATAGAAAGTGGGAGGTGGCTAAGAAGCCCCAAGCCTAGCTGAGGAAATATTGGTAACTGATAGCTGCTGGGAGAGGGGGAGTCAATTTTCCTTAATAATGTGATGCTGGGTACAATGACAAGGCTCCAGTGGATGGACCCACACTGAAGAGTATTTGGGGAGACAAATTAGAGATGATAAGCTTTAAAAAAAAATTATAATCAGGTGGAGGGTAGTGAGAGGGAAGGAGGGGGAGCAGATGGGGAGAAAGATCTGAATATGATCAAAATACATCATATGAAGCTCTTAAACTCAGTAAAAATATTTTTAATTTCAATAAGTAAATAAAATGCAAAAGATTTGTTGACTGTTAAACTGAGTGCTTTTAAAAAGGCCTTTGGTTAGTTCCACCAGTCTGGTACTTTTAATAACCTTCTTGGATGTTTAACAGACATACTTTGAGGCCTATAATAATTTGGTCAGAGGGGCATAAAGGACAGTTTTTGCTCCTTGCCCTCCTAGGTCAACTAGTTCCAGGGGACTATGAGCATCTCTCAAAATGTCCTGTAATGGTGGTAGGTCACCTGTCCTCTTGATCAAGGGGGCCAAGGAGACCCCACCAGATGCACTTGAACCAGTGTCCAGTCTACAAAGAGGAGGGTCACCACAGAGAAATCATTTCCTCCATGCTTCCAAGCGAAGCCAGCCATGGTCTCAAGCAGGACCTTTGACTTATCTTCACATAGGTAGAACTGGTAAAAGAAAGGAGC